ATTGATTGAGTTTTGCCGTCAGTATTATCGTGGTAATCAAAAAGAATATAAAAATATTATTGAATTTGAACAATCGTATCAATCAGATAAAAGTATTTATTGGTACACAAAAGATTCATTTTTGTACAGACTTGTTAACAAAGCTCTGCGTACGGAAGATATAGGACAGTTACACACATTTCGATTTTTCATCAATGATTTATCATCAAAATTAGCTGATTTCATAAGAAACAAAATGGGCAAGAAAATAATACTGTGATGCTGTATCGTGGGTTAAAATTGGAACTGGATGAATTGAAGAGATTGAAACAAAATTTAGGCTCTATAATTTCAGCTAACAGATTTCTTTCTACAAGCTATTCGAAAAATGTTGCTGTCGCATTTGCGAAGCAACCTACAAAACGAACCAACATAGTTCCTGTGCTCTATGAAACTCGAATGCAATTTGAATACATCGGAATCGACTATTTTTGCTGATATTACAAAATATAGTGAGTTTGCACAAGAACAAGAAGTATTATTTGATCTAGGCAGCACATTTAAAATTCAATCAATTACTGAAAATGAACAATTAAAAATGATTCTGATAAAGTTCATATCGACTGACGCTGGAATAAAAATGGCTCAAAAATATATTGAATTGAATAGAAAAATGAACGAAGAAACTACTCCGGATATACTATTCGGTATATTACTAATTCAAATGGATAAATACGACCAATCGCTGAACTATTTTGGAAATTTATTGAATGGATCGAATGGGAAAGTCGATGTAGCACGGATTTATACCGAAATCGGCTCTGCATATTTATGAAAGGGTGAACTGGATAAAGCATTCGAGAATGCAAATCATGCTTATCGAATGATGATCAGAGCAAAACCATCGCGCATCAAAGATTCATCCAGAACAATGACTGTAATGGCTCATGTTTATCTTCGGAGAGAGATATATGAAAAATCGCTAGATTTCTATTTCGAAGTATTAGAGATTCGGGAGAAATTTTATGATCGAAAACATTTGTACACAGCAACAGCATTGAATCATATAGGTAATGTATATTATAAAATACAAGAATACTCAAAGTCATTAATGTATTATGAAAAAGCATTCAATTTTCGTCAAAAACAATTACCCCACGTTCATCTCGATATAGCAGCAAGTCTAAATAATCTAGGACTCATCGAATGGAAAATGAATCATGCCTATGAAGCACTAGATAATTATCGACAATCATTGGATATTCGAAAACAACTACTTCCATCCGATCATAATGATATTATCCAAAGCTAAGACAATATCACACGCATACTCTACGAAGAAAATGACATCGACGAAGCATTGAACTATTTTACTGAAATCTTAACTATTCACACGATTGACTTTGATCCAAATGATCATGATAATCTATTAAGTCGTCTAGAAGAAAAGTTTGGACCTAGAAAACTACGCGAATCAGTACACCAAGAAGCTGTGTCATGACCGGAATTCGCCATTAAAGCATATTTGGGAGATTCTCGTTTGATTATTATGAAAAATGAGCACATTCATACGTTTGCTGCAGATATGGAGCGAATCGAATTGAAGATACAAGAAGATCTTTCTGTGTTGAAGAACTTCATCAATATTCTTGACAATGATGGGGATTATGGCATGGTTTCAGAGGCAGTGAAAGAAATAATGATGGCATCTTCTCGAAATTGTCTCTCTGGATATAATCATAATGAATATTTGATGGAATGTCTGCACGATTTGGTCAAGGATGCTTATGATAGTACCGATAAAAGCAACAAAGCTTTTCGCTTCTATGAAAAAGTTCAATCAATATTGAAAAACACGATTTCTCATTGGGCGAATACGAGCAATATTCAAATAATATACTTGGAGCGCATCGGAAACTTCCATCAAGTAAATGATAATTACGAATCAGCACTTGAATCATTAGAGCAAACTTTGAAAATACAGCGAGACAACAAGAAGAATTTAGATAATATTCCTGATAAGTTACATTGTATTGGTCTAATTTATATGGCGCTTGGTAATTATAAGTCGACATTGATATCTTTCAATGATGCATTGGGAATACTACAGTCAAATGCTGTTGAGAACGATCGAGAAATAAAATTACTCTTGAAATGCATCAACCAGGCAACAGAAGGATTAAAATTAACTACAGATTCACTTTAATAGAATTTTCGCTATATTTCATATTTGACTCATTTATTGATCTGATAGAAGAGAATTCGAACGGTTCTAAATAAAGAGATATCACTCAGATTCAGTATTTTAATAGATTTTAGACAGCAATCAGATGCACGTCATTGCGTATGTATGCGAAAAAGTGACTGAAAATAAATATTTTGCCTTTCAAGGACGACACTTACAGAAAAAAAATATACATTTATATTTTAGCTTGACTATTATTTTATTTGACTCGTATCGAAGCAAACAGAGATGCTCGAAAAATAAGGAATATTGATTCAAAAGTGAATTTCCATAAATTTTTTGACGTTTTCTTGACTGAAACTATATTTTCCACAAAAAAGTCTACATTCTACTCAATCTTCGCCAGTGATTCATTCGAAACTAATAGAATGCTCATCATAAAGCCATGGTATGGTCAACGCGCTGATTCATATGGTAGTTTTGATCGATTTATGCAGTTTTGACACTATTGTCTCCATCAAAGAATTACTTATAACATGGTTGAGCACTTCCACTCATATGAATTTGAGCAAGAAAAATGCTAGATTTTCAAATCATTCAATATCATAGCTGTATCAAAAGATTTTGCAATTTTAATAAAACAAACATTAATCATCTAAGAATAAGTGTATCCTGACGATGATAAAAACCTTATTAGTAAAAAAAAAGAATCTTTTTTTTTTACAAGAATGAAATTTACATAGATTTTTGTGTATTTGTCTTTATCATCGATATACGATATTTTCTGCAAATTTTGAATAATTGTATTAAACTTCTGTGCAATTTTTTTTGGATAGGGTCAAAAATACAACGGCTTGCACGTCTTGTTGAAATAACTATTACAATCATTAATGTATCGATTTCAATAGAATTCATAAGTGATGTTTTGTAAGTCCGAAAAACTTATACATAAACATGTAATTTGATCTGCCATTATAGTTTTCTTACATTATTTTGTTAATGGAAAACGAGATACATCAATTGCATAAATTTAGAAACATGAAAAGATAAATTGAATCTAACTCGTTGTCGAGAAAAATGCAGCCAATCTAATTTTAATTATGGGTCCCTAATAGAAATAGAGCATCTTCCAAGATGTATCACCTTAATAATCTTTATGAAATATTCACATTTTACGTTTACATCCAAATCTTTCATATCAATACGATACAGAATGTCGAAAATAGGGTGTGCTTTTCTTCGCATTGCAGTATTGAATTCATTATAAAACATTGCGTCGAGACAAATCAATGATATTAAAATTAGTTACAACAGATTTGCAAGGAACTGAAATTCAGCTTTTCTATTAATTCAAATATTTCTTCCAGAAAATTAACGCTCCAAACCAACTATATACTGATATGTATATACGAAAAAATCTGCTTTACAACAGCTAGATGTTTGCTTTCAAATACATGCTATGCCACCTCTTTTGAGAATATAACGAAAAACAAAATAACACGAAAATTAAAGTTATTTTCTCATAGAGTGAGAGAAATCAACTACGTTAGAAAAGAATACTCTTTAAAAAAATTTTCCTCTAACAAAATGCTATTTCAAACTAGTGTTTTATTCAATGCACTATTATCGCTCAGTAGATAAATAAATGTAATTTATTAATACATAAATTTTTATGCTGGAAACAAAAGAATGATTTTTCGATTCGATTATATCCAAGAAAATTAAGTGAAGAAAAATATTACAGAATTTAATAGAGTTCATTTTGATTAATTTGACATTGGGCATCACGATCCATTAAGATATCGTATAGATTGGAGTAGTAACTCGACTGTTTGTTGAGTTGTATTCTTCAGTATCAAGTGACGCTTCATTACTTTCTCTATTTGATTCTTCAGTGCTAGGCGATGCTTCAGCAATTTCTAGATTTGGTTCTTCAGTAGTTGGTGCTTCTTCAATTTTCGCTGGATTTATACCATCGGTTTTAGACGATGCTTCACTACTTGATACATTTAGTTGTTCAACATCAGATAATGCTTCACCATTTTCTAGCTGTGACTTGTCAACAATAGATGTTGCTTCAGTTGTTACTAAATTTATTTCTTCAACATCAGATAATGTTTCCCCATATGCTGGATTTGATTCTTCAGGATTAAGTGTTGCTTCAGTATTTATCAGATTTGATTCTTCAGGAGTGGGTGTTGTTTCAATTTTTTCTGATTTTAATTCGTCAGCCTTAGATGTTGCCACAGTATTTTCTGGATTTGATTGTTCAGTTGTGGGTGATGCTTCACCATATGCTGTAGTCGGTTCTTCAGTTTTAGGTGTTACTTCAGTACTTGCTACATTTAATTCTTGAACGTCAGATGATGCTTCATCAAATAATGGATTTGATTCTTCAGGATTAAGTGCTGCTCCAGTACTTGCTATGCTGAGTTCTTCAAAATTAAATGATGCCTCAGTATTCACCGAATTTGATTCATCAACATAAGATGTTGCTTGAGTAATATCCGACTTTGATTCTTCAGCAGTGAGTGTTGTTTCAATATTATCTGATGTTGAAGAATTAAATGTAGAAAGTACCGAAACATCACCCACA